TATATATTATGTATTATATATATATACACTCCCTTATAGTAATAAGGAAATAGAATAAAGCCATCTGTAACCGTGGTTAGACTATTGACTAATGAATTCTGGACGCTAGCGTGCTTACACACCTGGCGTTGTGAGCCGAGTTACCAGTTGTAATTAATCCCACTGGCAGGACATTTCACAAAACTATTTTCACCTGGAAAAAACTCTTTAAGCCTAGGTGAGTGCTTTAGTGTGTATACACCAAGCACAGGTTGGCACTGCGGATCTGCAGCTAATGTGGCAGAGTCCCTGTGACTGGGAAGATGGTTCGATGCCAGTTACATAATGAGGGGGGGAGGAGTCAAGTGGGAGAAAGAAAATGAAGAGGGGAAGAGGGAGGCAGTGAGTTGTTCTCTAGTGTGGTGTGACCTCAGTTGGTATGTTGCGTGTCATGTTTTTGAGTCATTTTGTTTGGAGTTTCAAATTACTTTTTTCCCCTTCCCTCCCCACCCTTCTGCACCCCCTAAGTAATGAGAACCCCGAGGAGCAAACCCAGGGCCCAATGTGTATTAGCCGAGTTAACTGTCTGCAGTTATAAGCCCAGCCATGTGTGCAATGCTTTCTATTTTTTCTACTTGAAACTGGTCTTAGTTACTGAGGTTGACCTAGAGTTCCCTTTGTAGCTCAGGTAGGCCTTGAACTTATAATCCTTCTGCCTCAGCTTCCCGAGTAGTGCATTGCAGACCTGTATAACTTGGCCCCACTAGATCTTACCTGGTGTATCTAATAGAATTAGATTGTTCAGGGTTTGGGGAGTTTTGTTTGTGTGTTTACAGGGTTTGGAGAGTTTTGTTTGTGTGTTTAGGTAGTGAGGTTTGTTTGTTTGTTTGTTTTGTTTTGTTTTTTGCTTTTGGTTTTTCATCCCAAACTGGTGGATAAAACTCATTTCCAGGAGCTGGAGAGATGGCTGAGAAGGTAAAGGTGTTGCCACGCAACCTGATGACCTGAGTGTGATTCCCAGGACCCACACGATAGAAGAGAACTAACTGACTTCCTGCAAGTTGTGGCACATTTGTGCTTGGGTGGGACATTACCTTTAACCCCAGCACTTGGGAGGCAGAGACAGGTAGATCTCTGTAAAATAGATGGCAGCCTGGTCAAAGTGATAGGGTGAGACCCTACTTCAAAAGCACAAAGTTTAACTCAGTTCAGTTCATAAAACTCGATGTTTGGTCTCCACTCTAACGTGGGTTTGTGTGACATTTGTTCTTTATAGATGTACATTAGAGCAAAGGACTGCCTCAAAGAGATTTACCTCTTTGTAGATTTGGGGAGGTTTGCTGTAGACAGTAAGAACCCCCCCCCACACACACACACACAAGGCATTGTGGCTAGAGGGAAGAGAACAGTGGGAAAGGAGGGAGGCAGAGACACTCTTGTGTATGCTTTGTGGATTTCTCTGGGTCCTGGACTCACTCTGGGAGGAAGAGGGCATCAGGAGTCCAGCAGGCAGGCATGACTTTCAGATCCCCATCCTGGCATCTGAAGACAGTAAGTGAAGAAGTAGTTGCCATAGCCCAGGAGAGCCATGCCAGCGATGGAGAGATGCTATCTGTCATCGGTTTCACAATGTTAGAAATGGATTTGTCCAAGGCGTGGGGGGGAGGGGTCTCAAGAAAATGACCACACAATCCCAAGTATTTTGGCCACACAGCCAGTCACGTCAGAAGTGTGCTGTGTCCCGCCCTGATTGGTCAAGAGCTCAGCCTCACATTCTTTCACAGATGAATAACTTAGAGCTGCGGAGTCGATAAGCAAAGTATATCTGTGGAAACAGGATGCAACCTTGGGCACGGACTTTGATCTGAGAAAAATACTGACTGGAAGGAGATGCTTTGCCAGACGATATGCCAGCCTCTTTGGAGATGGAGCGCCAGCTCATTCAGCCCTCTGATAGAAAAGACAGTGCATTCCTTTTATAGTTCCCGCAGCGGGTCCATGGATAGAAACCTCGTTTAAAAGTGGGCATGGGACAAAATCAAAGTCAAATCCCCAACAGGGCTGGGGTAAAGTGCTTACCTCGTAAGCATAAGGTCTTGAGTTCAACCTCCACAGTTCACAGCTGAGAAACCCAGTGTGGTGGACATTGCTAGTAATCCCAGCACTGGGGAAGCAGATACACTTAGCGATCTGGAACACATTCACTAACCAGCCAACCTAGCGTGTGTGTGTGTGTGTGTGTGTGTGTGTGCGCGCGCGCGCGCGCACGCGCGCGCGTGCGGCTTCAAGCCAACAAGAGACTTTCTTAAATAAGAAAGAAAAACTGGATGATGTCTTAACGCCTTGAGGTTATCCTCTCTGCTCCACATGCATGACCCTCCCCCACACACCCATGGTGGCTTACCCTAGCAGCAGGAGGGTTGGCAAGGAAAAAAGTGCACCCTGAACCCTAAAGGATGGCTAGACCCCAAGATTGTGTGCAGACCTGTGGTGTTGAAGCCCAGGGGCAGTAGCTGTGCTCAGTGCATCGGGTCAGCCCTGGCTGCCGAGGGATAGGATCAACACTGGGTATTGTGCCTGGGGGACCCTGGCAGTGGTCAGCAGGAGGTGAAGGTGTGTACTGTTCTTCCTCTGCAGACTGATGAAAAATTGCAGGTGCTCCTGCGCCAGCAAGACGTCTCCTTGGGGTCTCCTATGACCCCCGAACAGCTGACGGCATATGAGCTACCTTTACTGTGGCAACTATACCCAGGGAAAAGGTACCGAGGCAGTGACTCCAAGTTCTGGCTGATCCTGTACCACGTCAAGGCAAGCAGGGTTTACCCCAGGGACTAGGTGGGTGATCTCCAGTGGTCCTGCTCTCAGCCTGGGGCTGGCCTGGGCTAGCTATATATCCCTCCATCCTAGCACCAGGAGCTAAGCTAATGGGAGGAGAACTAACTGCCGATTTGTTTTCTGATTTTTGTTTGTTCGTATTTTAAGTAGGTTAGAGAGATAGAAAAGGCCATCTTCTGAAGCCTCAGCCAAACTCCTCATTACAAGGAGCCCTCTGTGGTAGTCACTGACTGAGACCTGTGGAGAGGGTTAGCCCATCCCCCACCCCCACTCAGGTCCCAGTGCTGCCCCAGGCTAAAGAAAGCTGAGCCAGAATGGGAGGGGGATTCTCAGGGCTGAGGCTGATCATTCTTGTCTCCTTCCCCACCCTCAGTTGAGAGGCGTAGAGGACATGTTACTTGAACTGTTGGAGTCTGAAGAATGTGACACGGTGAGCACACACCGAGGCTCCATCAGGAAGGAGCGCCCTTCCCCATGAAAGCTGTGCCAGCCCCTCCCCAGCAACTGTCCTCAGAGTGTGCCCTGGGTGGGACAGGCTTCCCAGAGGTGTTTATGTCTTTTCCTTTACCACCTTAGGAGCTCCAGCCACAGCCATGTTCCCAGGGCCCCATGGGTCATCATTGTTCACCATCAGCTGTCTATCCTAGATGCTCTGTGTGACTTGTACAGGGGCGAGTTTCTCCATCTTTACTCACCCACCCTCCTCACTGTTGCTGTTTTGCTCTGGCCCAGGTATAAGATGTGAGACCCAACCTTGGGAGCCAACTCACCAGCTACCCAGCAGCCCCCCCGCCGGCTCCCGCTCTGTGCCTCTGACCCTGCCTTCTCATCTTTCCCTGGTCCTGCAGTTCCTGTCTCCCTTGCCTGCCCCAGGCCCATGGGAGAGATGTTTGTACTTCTATCCACTTTGCTAGTCACCTTCTTTCTCTTCCACACTGGGCCCCAGGAAGAAAAGCTAGCCAGAAGACACCCCTCCCTATCTCCGGTAGCCTGCTCAGCTGTCTCCGTTGGCCCTCAGCCTCCACGGCCAGCAGCGTCAGGGAAGTGCCTAGTTCTTACCAACTCCTCTAGGTGCCCAGTGGTAGCTGTGGCTCTGAGCTTCTCAGAAAACTCATTTTTTAGCCTTTGTCTTTTGTCCCTCGAGGCAACCAGTGTCTGGATTTTGAACTTGCCTACTCTCTCATTGGTCTCCCAGCTATACATGTACCCTGAGGGACAAGGCCTTGTCACTTAAACCTGGCCAGGCCCCAGATCTGCCATCTTTCAAGGTGCTGTGCTTTTACTCGCTTGACCTGTGAACCTGCCCCCCACCACTACCCAACAAACTTAGGCTTTGTTGCAAAGCAGTAGAAGGCCTGAGAGCTTCATGTCCCTCCTCAGAACCCAGGAGCTTGAAGCCAGGGATGTGCAAACCTGGCTGGGGCCTAAGGCCATCACTAGAGCAGGAGGCCAGACAATGGACCTGGTTCCGATGAGCCCTCAGATTGCCCAGTTGTGGGCTCCCTCCTGCCACAGATGCCCATTTACTGGGTTTCGGATGCTGTATTTAATGTAATCACTTTGTGTTGCTAATTAAATGTTATTTAACACATGCTGAATCTTCGTCTGTCTTTGACCTAGATACTAGTAGATAAGGGAGAAACTGGGGTCACCCCGTGAGAATGTTGAAAGGGAATTCTGGGGACTTCGTGCTATTCTATTTTGGAGATAAGGTTGGACCTTGCAAGTTTTCCAAGCTTCAGTTCTCAAGCCCAGGGCTCTTGGAGTTATGATTTGAGAACCATTAGAGGCAACAACCTGGAAAGATCCTTGCTGGCCAGTCCTGGTCCCCTGACCCCCTTGGTATGGTCCTGCCGTCCCCCAACCTCAGAATGCCTTCTGCTCCAGGTCCCCGCTGTCTCCGGGAAGGCCCCAGGTGTGCTGTTCCGTATGTGGCTCCTGTTCTCCAACCCAGGGGTCCCTCCCTCATGTGAAACTGCCCCCGTTACTGCAGCCCTACAAGTCACTCTCCCGCATCCCCAGCCTGCAGGCACAGCCTCACCTACCTCGTGCCCTGGCCTCTGCTGGTCCTCATGCCTCTGCGTAGAGCCTCAGAGTACAAGAGACACCTTAAAGGAGAAAGGGGACCAGAAAGGGCCTGGTGTCACCCTGCTTCCTGTCTCGGTATGACTATAGTCCACAGGGCTGTCCTGAAGATGCAGTTGGGTAAGGAAAGGGACATGCTCTGAGCATCCAACAAGAGAATTATATGAGAAATCCATCTCCTCTCATTTACCGTCTCTTATCCCTCTCTACACTGGATGGATTAAAAGCACGGCCACCTGTGATCATTAATTTATCAACTTGATGGAATCTAAACTACCTAGCAGACAAGTTGTATTAGGGGTCTCCAAAGGAATGATAGACCTCATAGAATAAACACACACACATATACATACATAAGTATATATAGGCGTCGTTAGAATGACTTACAGGCTGTGGTCCAGGTGTGGTCCAGGAGAGGAACAGTTTGCAGCATCTGGCTGCCATGAACTGCCCTGGGTGCTGTGGCCATAGCAGCCAGCAAAACAAGGGCTACAAACATACAGGCTCTGCTCTGAGAGATACGTTTAGAAATCCAAAACCTGGAAGAAAGTAGAACAGGGTGAGATAAGAGCCAATGATTCTTGTCTGTAGGTGGCTTCACAGACATGCATGTGTGCTATGAATGCACCTGGCTGTATGTGCTCAAATGCATGAGGTCAGAGGTCAACTCCAGTGTCTTCCTCTGTTGCTTTCTACGTTCCTTTTTGGAGACAGGGTCTCTTGCTGAACCTGGGGCTAAACTAGTTGGCCAGCACGCCCCAGGAGAGGGGGCAAGCACAGGGACAACCTGGCAACCCAAGGTGCCCTTAGCTGTAAAAAGCCAAATGGTTCTATAGCGCCCGTGCTGCTACAAGACAGTACACGAGCCAGGAACTAAGCTGGGGACTTAAAAACAGAAAGACAGACAGACATGAGTCATCCTTGATACAAGAGTGCCAAACAGCTTATATAGGGATCCTTAGCCAGGCCCAGCTCTCGGGATCTTCCAGCTGCAGACTCATCAGGCTCAGAGCAGCTGCAAGCAAGGTCTCGTGCTCAGAGCAGCTGCAGGCAAAAGGTCTAAAGCAAGCAAAGAAACTGGCCAGGGATCTGCAGCTCCCAACACTTAGTTGTCCCTTCCTGAGTAGGGCAACACGCAGCACCTCCACACCTGTGAGTAATTCGTGTTCAGGAACTTCTCGCTCGAGGAATAAGGCCTCCCTAAGCCAGTGTCTGATAGAAGCACAAGTCTTTCCTTGTGACCTGTTGGGGGGAAGAGCCTATTTACCATCTCATGTGCATGCTTGAGAGGGTGAACATATGCTCAAAATTATGTGTGGGCAATGTACGCACACACAGGTGATCTAAAATTCTATCTCATTTGTCAGTTGGCAAGGAATCACCCAGTGCCCCCTCCCCGCACGGTCGACTCTACTCAGGAAACTGTGCACTCAGGCCTCTTGAAGGATGTTTTTGAAGCCCATCCCCCTTCTTTAGAAGGCATCCTTTGCTTTTTCACTGGTTCTCTGGGTCTTGTCCAGCTTGACATTGGAGATACCGAGAACCTGAACATCATGTCACAGGACCCTGTGAGACTCATAACGCAGGGATCCTCTTGTCTCTGCTCCTTCCCCGGTGCTGGGATTACATGTGTGCCCTGATGTGCCCAGCTATTAATGTGAATGCTGATGGTCTGATCTCAGGTCCTCATGTTTGCATGGCAAGGACATTACTAACTGATCCTTCACCCCAACCCAAACTCACTGTGACAAAAAGCACCTGATATGAAATCTACCTTTAAGGGTATGCTACGGTTTTGTTAATTTTGTTTGTTTTTTGTTTTTCAAGATAGAGTTTCTCTGTGTATCTTTGGAGCCTGTCCTGGAACTCACTTTGTAGACCAGGCTGGCCTTGAACTCACAGAGATCTGCCTGTCTCTGCCTCCCAAGCGTTGGGATTAAAGGCTTTCACTGCCACTGCCTGGTGGCTTTGATGATTTTATGAGCACTGTTTCACAGCAGGTTTCAGGAACTGTTTTCTTTGCTTGCCTTTTGAATAGCAGCTCCCCATTTCCTGCCCTCCACAGCCCCTGGCAATCACCACCTCATTTTCTGGCCCTATGATTTGCACAGCTTTAGGTATCTCCTATAAATAGAATCGTGCAGGATTCGCCCTGCTGTGGCTGACTTGTTTCCCTTAGTGTGATGTCTTAGGGTTCTGGCCTCCAGTCATGAACATCTGTGTGCACACCCCCTGCGCATACACCACACTCAAAAATTTTTTTTTCTTTTTTGGTTTTTCGAGACACGGTTTCTCTGTGGCTTTGGAGCCTGTCCTGGAGCCAGTCCTGTAGACCAGGCTGGTCTCGAACTCACAGAGATCCGCCTGCCTCTGCCTCCCGAGTGCTGGGATTAAAGGCGTGTGCCACCACCACCCGGCTTCACACTCAATATTTTAAAGGATTACTATGTGCTGACTGTACAGTTATCGTAGAATATCTCCTTTAAGCCTCACAAAGACAGGAGAAACTCGCAAGAGGCTTTCTGTGAGGATTGGACTCCTGTGGAAGGCCCCCCCAGCCACAGCAGCATGGAGTCACTCACGCTTCAGTGGGCAACTGCAGCTGTGTTCCTTCCCAAAGAGTCAGGAAAGGGAATAGCCAAATCTCCCACAGGTGTGATAAGAAAGTCCCTCCCAGGAGTCACTGAAACTGCCGATCCTCTTGCTTCTGATTTCTTCAGCCTTTCCATGACCGGAAAGCCAACTGCTCTCATTCCATCCTAAGGAACCAAGGGTGGGCTCAGCGGTTAAGAATACTGGCTCCTCTTCCAGAGGAACCAAGTTCAATTCCCAGTAACTATGTGGCAGCTCACATCTATGTGGAGTCTGTAATCCAGCTCCAAGTGATTCGACACCCTCACGCAGACATATCTGCAGGCAAAACACTAATGCAAATAAAATAAAAATAAACATTTAAAAACAAAACAAAACCAAGGGTTTACTTGATTCTAGAGTCTCCAAAGTCAATTACAATCTTTAACTTTGTTATAGTTTTGGAAATGGGGTACTCTCACTACCCCCAATTTCCTGATGAGAAACAGCCCCAGAGCCCAGCAGCAGTAATTTGCCCGGGGTCTCTGGGGGTCTGGCCTGGGTATGGCTAGAATCTGCCTTTCTAGTTACCAGTGTTCACCTGCAGGGCTCTGCCTTTGGTTCAGAACCAGGAGAGAAGGCACAGCATTTACTGCATGCAAGAAGAAAAAGCTGTAGAGGAAACAGGACAGTGATCAGGATCCCATGACGGCCTCTCTGAGGTGGTAACACCCACATAAAGAGGGGGAGATGTGACATCCTGCAGCTCCATGCCGGGCAGACACGGAGCCTGGAGCGGTGTGAATAGAGGTGAGAGAGTCTGGCCTTGGCAGTCAGAACAAAGATTTATGCTAAGAGCTTCAAGAATCCAGGAAGTAATGGGGTCTGAATGACCTCCGGCTGCTGTGTGGTGGATGGACCCTAAGGCAACAAGAATAACAGAAGAGAAACTAATTAAAGTTAGAAACCTAACGCAGGAATTGGCCTAATTTTTCTATAAAGGGTCAGATAGTAAATATTTGGGGCTTTGTGGGCTGTAAAGTCTCTATTGTAGCTATTTGATTCTTTCATTCTTGTGAGGACCATAGATGATACACAATGCTGAGTGTGGCGTGTGTGTGTGTGTGTGTGTGTGTGTGTGTGTGTGTGTGTACACTAAGTTACAAAGTTACCAGCAATGAAGGTATTCAGATAAATGTGTTCCAGAAGCTTTTAGGGTCATTGCCTGAGCCCTGGTAGTCTCCTCACAAACCAGGCTCCACCACCCGTCTCAACAGATCAATTAATACCGAGTAGTGAAAAGCCAAAAAGGAAATCGAACATCTCCACAATTGAGAAGAGGAACAAAGAGACCTAACACAGGATTTAGGATTACACAGAGGACCAGAGGTGTGCATACCTAGCAGTCTCGGGTAGGGTATGGTGCTCTGAAGTTGTTGGAAATATGTGAAATCTTCCTGGGGACTAGCTACCCTTCTAGTTGGTACCAGGCTCACGGCCTTCTGCCAGCAAGAGATTGCTGGGAAATGCCAATTCCTTGGGGCTCATTTTGTTTTAATACTTTGATACCCAAGGGGGGGGGGCTTGGTATCCCTAGAACACCTTTTTTTCCTGCTAATACAGTTGCAAATGGATGGAGAGCCAGCCGCCTGCTATTATTCACTTTGGTGTAAGGGATATTTATTTTCTAATCCTTTGCTATCTGCTTAGACCACAGAAACACATGAGTATATTCCTTCACATAAAAAAAAAAAATCAAGCAAACTACAAATGAAGTCCCCTCGTATGAGAGAGTGGAG